ATACATACATACATACATACATACATACATACATACATACATGCATACATACATACCCTAATTATCTCACACACACACAAAACACAAAAAACATAGGAAGGCACTTAGAGGAATATATGGAAGGGCGCGCACTTTGAGAGGCTTTTTCAAATCAATATCAGAATGAATGCTCAGCTCTCTCAGGGCATCTCCGACAAGGTTGTTCCTGCGAACGTGGAGGACCAGGAAGGGGCTTCTGGCCAGCAGAGGCTCCAAGGTGAGAAGCATAAAGACATTCTGCAGGTTGGCTCCGTTGACCGCCACCTGGAACAGCACATCCAAGAACACAATTACCACTCTGAGTGCACCTGGGAGCAAGGACAGCAGCAGCCGTGCCTCTGGACCCGGGCGGGGGGGGGGGGGCTGACTGCATCTCCATTTTGTTCTTTGTTTCCCTCCTAACTTTTCCAGTAGATTTTGTAAGTTACTCATGATTACAAAACACACAAATCTTTCTAATCTGAACCCAAAGAGATTAACTGAAGCACTTTATAAACCATATGATCCATAACTCATTCCAGGAAAATGATTTAGACTAAGCTGATTAAGAATGGAATAACAGTGCTGTGGAAGAAAGTGAGGATGGAGAGTGGGCAAAAGCCAGCACTTTCAAAGTGGCAGGCAAAGAAACCTTGCAACCACTTGCTAAATGGTTTTTATTCTTTGAAAAATGTCCATTTCCTCTGGAGAACTTTAAAGTTGTCATTGTCATGGATATATCACTGTGAAAACATATATATATGTATATATACATAGAGAGAGAGGAGCTACAGAGACACAGAAAGACAGGGAGAGGAAGATGAATGAAGTTATGTATCCACCAACAGTAGAAACTGGGAGATTTCAGTTGCTAATTCACAAATGTCTTTGTAGGGCTGCCAAAACCAATTATATTTTACAACAAAAATGCATATTTAAAATAAGTTAAACAGATCTCCATAACTTGTATTTCTGTTCAATAAAGAATCACCAGCTCTATTTAATTATCGATCAGGGTCTGGCAAACAACAGCCCACAGCCAAATCCAGCCTGCTCCATGTTTTTGTACAGCTTTTTAGCTAACAATGGTTTTACCTTTTTAAATAGTTGAAAAAAAATAAAAAGAAGAATATTTCAGCACATGCAAAAATTATACAAAATTCAAATCTTCTGCTATGACAGAGGTGAAATGCTGAGATAAACTGCATGGTACACAAAGACAAATATTTACTATGTGACCCTTTATGAAAACACTTGCCGACCCCCAGTTTATGTAAATGTGCATTCATGTGTATGTGTTATATTCAATACAATATTGCTGAAAATATTTCTAATAGTTCTAAAGGTAATCATGGAACATCATCCCAAATAAACTTTCTAATAGGAAAAATTACAACTGATGTATAAGATGAAAGAAACCCAGTAAGAAGAGGAAATGATTTTTAAAATAGGTTACCTGCATCTGCAATTCAGCATCAGTCTGCAGCATTTTGGTCTTGGCTTGGGCATCAAAGATAAAAGGGTAGGAACAAAGTGTAACAGCATCCTGGAAAAAAACACATTAGTGGCAACATTATAGCATTTCACAGAGAATACTGCTAGAAAAATACATTAAATAAAGATTTAAAGGATCATTTACCTGTATTATAGATGGTCTAGCCTTCTGTGTAAAGAAAAATAAAAAGTCTTTTAGTTGGATTGCAAAATGTGAACTTTTTACCCCCCACAAAAAACAAAACACATAATCTGACCATTTGGCCACGGAATTAACACCATTTGAATGGCTGACCTGAATTTTGATAGAATACACCAGATGTTTTGAAGGACACAGGCTGAGAAAAACACTAAGAACAATTATTTTTTTAATTTTAAAGAGGACCTTTTCAAGCCATTTCACCAACTCCACAATTCACAGCATTAATTCTCGTTTATAAGAAATCTAATTCTAAAACAGGAGCTTTACAACCATGACTTCAGAGACTAATTTTGTTGGGTACAGTGGATAATGCAAATGTCATTTATGTGTCAGCAGGTTAAGTTTCCTTCATACACATACCCACACACATGCGCGTGTGCACGCACTGTTACTCTTGGGAGAAAATATTTAGAAAGCTGTCCCTGACTTGACACTTACACCAATGCTTGGCCTACAGAAGACACTCTATCAATATGTGAATGAAGTCTGATTAAACTTTTGAGGAAGGAATAACAGCACAGGCACATCTTGCTTTACTGCATTTCACATTATTGTGCTTCAGAGACAGTCTTTTTTTTTTTTAAGACAAATTGAAGTTTTGTGACAAACCTATGTCTTGTAAGACCATCAGCTCCATTTTTCCAACACCATTTGCTCACTTTTTGTCTCTATGTTACATTTTGGAAACTCTCGCAATATTTCAAGTTTTTTCAGTATTACTACCCTTGTATATATGGTGACCTGTGATCAGTGATCTTTGATGTTACTACTGCAAAAAGATTATGACTTGCTGAAGGCTAAGATGATGGTAGCACTTTTTAGCAATAAAGTATTTTTAATCAAGGTTTGTACATTTTTTAATATAATGCTATTATTACTCACTTAACAGACTACAGTATAGCGTAAACATAACTGGGAAACAAAAAATTTGTGTGACTTAATTTATTGTGGTGGTCTGGAACCAAACCCACAATATAATATCTCCGAGATATGCCTATAAATAAAAACAACCACAAAAATATCTAAGAGGTGTGTTGCAAACATAGATATCCAAGAGGCGTGTTAGTTTCATTTATCAGGAGAAAAAAGGAAATCTCTTCTGAAAGTTTTTGTTAAGTTAATGAATAATGTTTGCTACATAACCTAGTAGAAACAAAAAAATCAATGGTATAGACCATGGTGACAGACAACAATATTTCTCAGACAGAAAACCATGGATTTCTTCTCAGAGATGAGATAACTCTATGAAATTTTTTGATTTTGTGGTGTTTTAAAAAAATGACATCCTAAACAAAATAAAAGCACATTATGAATGACCTCCTTATAATGGTGTGTTACCATATGATGTGCATTCATTCTAATGCCTGCACTGGTGCCATGTTATACTAAATAGTCCAGGGTAGTAGGGAAAGAAGAAAAGCGGTCTTCCTTTGTAAGTGATGATTTCGTGCCCAGGAAAAGGCCAGGGCAGTCCTGGCCCACTGCACTGCATGCATGAAGGTTCAACAGCAGGTGAAAGGGCAAAAGAGAGCTAAGTCACCCCAGGGTGGCCAGGCCAGGCCGCAGAACGTCCTCGTCACAGTGCAAGTGGGGTTTGCTTGCAGTAAGGCATTCTTGCTCATCACATATAAAGCAGTGAGGCTAATTTGTGCTTTACTGATTTTAGACTTTTGTTAGTTATTGTACATTTAGCCTGGTTTCCTAATGTTCAAACGCTATAGGAATAAGGAGTGTATACCTACCTCCTTTTGTCTTTGTGCATTTCTCAATGAGATTATTTAAAGGTGATTTTGATTAAAATTCACTGTTTATCCTTTAGAAGCAGGTTTCTTCAGGGACCTTGGAACATTTCCCTAGACTGAAAACACTAATGGGAGAGAGGATTCCAGTCCAGGGAGACAAGATGTGGAATCCTGCACGAAGAACCCAGAGTGACTAGACTCTTTCTCATTCCAATTTATCTGATTGCTGAGAACTTCGGAATTTAAATCACTGAAATAAACACATGCACGCCAAAAAAGCAGCATTCTACCAAGTTACCTTCTACCGTAGGTACCTACAAAAGGTACAGTATCCTGAGGGAGTGTGTTTAAAACTGGTGCCAACATTCAGGATTTTCTGATCTTCCTCAGAAGAGAGTTTATTCTAAGCATTATTTGCCTATTCCCAGGGAAAAGAAAAATTTTATATGTGTGTTGGTCTATAAAGCTAGATAAAGTTCTGAGCACTTCAACTGTGAACGTGCCTATGGGAGAAACGATAACAGTGACTACAGAAACAGCTGTTGGCACTTCCGCCTCCCAGTGTGCAGGCGGCCCTCCTCCTCCACGTGTTCCACATGAGGCCAACCTCATGTTGAAATACTCGGGGGGGGGGGGGGAAGACAATTCCAGAAGGTTCCAGAAAGCAAAACTTGCATTTGCCATGCACCAACTATTTACATAGCATTTACATTCTATTTACAACTATTTATAGAGCATTTACACCATATTAGGTATTAAAGTAATCAAGAGAAAATTTAAAGTATATGGGAGGATGTGCTTAGGTTATATGCAAATAATATACCGTGTATCTATACAAGGGGCCTGAGCATGGAGAATCTGGGTATGGGGCTGAGGCTCCTGGAACCAATCCCCTATACTGATACTGAGGGACAAGTGTACTAGTAGTTTCAAACACTGGCATTTTTGTTGGTGTGATACTGTTATTTCAGACATCAGTCAGCAGCTCTGCCTGTATTTCTTGGCTCTCTCCAGTCCCACTCCAGTTCTCCAACTCTCCTGCCACCCTCACCCTGCCACCCCCACCACAAGCCCTCCCAGACTCCTTTAATGCCCACCTTCTGCAGCTCCTAGTCTGTCCCATAGCCCCTTGCCTGATCCCTACCCATCCCCAAAGGAGCCCAGTTTGGGGCTGGCTGATCTGTCTTCCGGAGAAGTAGGAGTCAAGCTGAGGGCAGGGTCACCATGCTCTCAGTTGGGTAGGTTAGTTGGAAAGAAATCCAAGACTGCTGAGTTGGGAACCAGAGCCAAGGCCAGAGAGCTGGTGGTCCAGGAGACCTTCTCAGCCTCCGACCCCTGAGCTGCCAGCTCTCAGGAATGTGAAGACGGGAAGGGTATTCCATTAAAAGGAGCAACAGACCTATATGAAGGTCTATTGACATGTCTACAAACTTTTTATAAGTCTATGAGTTTTTGTATTTGAAATAAAATAATTAAATTTCACTGATTTTTAGTCTGTAGATGCCAAATATTTCAGAAATGGTATTAGGACTGGTATATCCACGTTACGTGAAATAAACCCTGAAATAGCCGTATTATGATTCTGCTTCCTGGCTGCTCTCCCCAGGCTAGAAGGACGTGCATGCACTGATAAGATATGAGATTCCCCAGCTGAGACACAGCTTGTCCTGGGCCATCCATTCCACAAGTGAGACTTACAAACCTAAAACTAACTTTGTACTACTGGTGGACCACATTTCAAATTTTCCTGCTTAAAATGGGGCTATAACCTTAGTTCATTTTTTTTGAAATGTATGAAATAGAAGCAATGAGTAAGTACATGGTACAAAACTAGAGAATTGGGAGTATCTTTTTCTTCCTTTTTTTTTTTAATTTCAAATCAATGTTTCCTAAATACAGCGGTGACCGGGGGCAAGAGGCACTGCACAAACACCTGGGGTGCCAGGAAGGAAACACAGGAGCCTTTGCCTTAAGGCCAGCCTGCCACCATGTGTTCCTGTCCCCTCAGTGGGCAACTCTGGCTCCCAGCAACACCAAATGCTGAGGCAAACACAGCTGCACACCTCACCCAGGCACAATTCTGGTTCCTGGAACCAAAACACTGCCCTGTATGACACACACAGTCGACATCACGGTGTCACGTTGCCTCTAGTCTTTATTTCTGAAGCATTTCCTTTGCATCACTGACTTTCTCACTTGTGCTGCCTTCTATGAGAGCCCAAAACCACTCATTCTACCTGTTCTGGTTTTCAAGTGGCAGCTTATTAACTGAAATAAATAAGCCACTACCACCTCTTCTTTAAAATAAGCAAAAATCAGCCACTTTAGAATTTTCCTTTTGCGCTCCATAGCCCTTTGCATACATGTGTTACGTCCCTTTGTCATTCTTTTTTCACTGCACAGAACACCCCCAGAAGCAGCCACCACGTCCTGTACTTGCCTCCATCCCTAGGGACTAGCAGGCATGTGACAGTCATTAGGTGCCCAAGACTGCTTACCAAAAAATATTATTATATTTATTGTGTAATAATAATTATATACTGAGGACTTATTATATGCCAGACACTAGGTACTCTGCCAAGGAAGGCCTTTCCATGCTTTCTCTTATTTATAAATGAGGACACTTGCCTAAGGTTACATGGGTAGTAGGCCAGAGTTGAGGCCTGAACCCAGTTCCTTTTGACTAAAGCACATTCTCTAATCCGTATGCTATACTGACTTCACTACTACTAAGCTAAAGAATTTAACACATAAAAGCCCATTTATTGTAAGATACACACACAATGGAATATTATTCAGCCATAAAAAGGCAGTCCTGCCACCTGCAACAACATAGGTGAAATTGAAGGGCATTATGCTAAGTGAAATAAGCTAGACAAAGACAAATAACATATGATATCACTTATATGTGGAATCCGCAAAAAGAAAAAGAAAAAGAAAGAAAGCCAATGTCACAGGAACAGAAGAATGGTGGTTGCCACGGATTGGGGTAGGGGTTGGTGGGAAGAGAGGAGGAGACGGAGAGTTGTAGGGTATGATCCTTTCAGTTATAAGTCCTAAGGAGCTAATTTACAGCATGGTGACTAAAATTAATAACACAGTATCATATACTGGAAATTTGCTGAGAGCACATCTTAAGCATTCTCAAGACACACACAAAAAAGTTAACTATGTGAGGTGATGGATGTGTTCATTAACTTGGTCTCTGTAGTCATTTCACAATGTATATGCATATTAAGTCATCACGCTGTACATTTAAATATACAGAATTTGTTGATTATCCCTCAATAAAGCTGGGGAAAAAATCCACCTATTGTTTATTACTATCATTGAAAAGTGGTTAAGTGTAGAAATAAACCCATGCACATATGGCCAATTAATTTATGATAAAGGAGGCAAGATCATACAATGGGAAAAGGATGGTCTTTTCAATAAATGGTGCTGGGAAAACTGGACAGGCACACAAAGGAATGAAATTGGATCATCATGTTACTTATCATACATAAAAATTAACTCAAAATGGATTGAAGACTTGAGTGTAAGATCTGAAACCATAAAACTCCTAGAAGAAAACATAGGTAGTAAGCAACTTGCCATCATTCTTGGCAATGATTTTTTGGATCTGACTTCAAAATCAAAGGCAACAAAAGCAAAAATAAACAAATGGAACTACATCAAACTAAGATCTGATAAGTGGTCAACAACTAAAATATACAAAGAACTTACAAAACTCAATAGAAAGAAAACAAACAACCCTACTAAAAACTGGGCAGAGAACCTGAACAGACATTTCTCCAAAAACGACACACAGATGGCAACAGGTACATGAAAGATGCTCAACATCACTAATCATCAGGGAAATGCAAATTAAAACCACTATGAGATACCACCTCACACCTGTCAGAATGGCTATCATCAAAAAGACAAAAAAATAACAACTGTGGGCAAGGACATAGGGAAAAGGGAACCCTCATGCACTGTTGGTGGGAATGTAAATTGGTGCAGCCACTATGGAAAACAGTACGGAGACACCTCAAAAAATTAAAAATAGAACTACCATATGATCCAGCCATTCCACTTCTGGGTATTTATCCAAAGAATACAAAAACACTAATTTAAAAAGATATATGTACCCCCATTGCAGCCTTATTTACAATAGCCAAGATATGGAAACAACCTAAGTGGCCACGGATGAATGGATAAAGAGATGAGGTGTACATGCACACAATGGAATAGTACTCTTGTAACCAAGCGGGACCCTAATGTGGCCTTCCTGGGACAGACCACTCCCCTATAGCCTCTGCTTCAGCTCCTCTCTGAAGTCCCTGGATAGCAGTATCTGATGCACACTTCCTGAGTTGTTTTGCAGATGTGAAAACCTCCACCAAATGGAAGAAATTAACTACTTTATGACCATGAGCATGTAGCACCCAGACCTCCTGGAGCCTGAGGATTGATAATGTGACGGTGCACTGTTACTCCACCAGCAACCAGTCAGAGAACTGTGCACAAGCTGATCACAAACCCTACAACTCCCTTCCCTCACCTGGCCTTTAAAAACGTTTTCCTGAAACCCATTGGGGAGTCTTTTGAGTACTAGCTGCCCTCAACTCTTTACCTTGTGTCCCGCAATAAACGCTGCACTTTTTTTTCACCCAACCCAGTGTTAGTAGATTGGCTTTACTACAGGCAGGTGAGAGGACCCAAGTTTGGTTAGGTAACACTCAGACATAAAAAAGAATGGAATCTTGCCATTTTTGACAACATGAATGGAACTTGCGGGCATCATGCTAAGTGAAATAAGTCAGAAAGAGAAAGACAAATACTGTCTGATCTCACTTATATTTGGAATCCAAACAAATAAATCAAATCAAAACAACACAACAAGCTCCTAGGTAATCTTGACAGTTTAGTGGCTGCCAGAGGGGAGAGGGGATGGCAGGTGGGTGAAATGGGTCAAAGGTACAAACTTCCAGTTATGAAATAAATGAGTCACAGTGATATAACACACAACATGCTAACTACAGTTAATAAAACTGTATCGCATATTTTAGCTGCTAAAGTTGCAAAGAGAGTAAATCTTAAAAGTTCTCATTACAAGAAAAAAAAATTTTTAACTATGTGTGGTAACAGAAAGTAACTAGACTTACTATGGTGATCATTTCACAGGGTATGTGAATACCAAGTCACTATGTTATACACTGGAAACTAGTATGTTATACGTGTCAATTATATCCAAAAAAAAGTAGTCAGAAAAACAAATTAGTGTATGAAATAGTTTTAGCATTTTAGGTGAAAATCCAAGAGATCAAAAAACTTGAACTTTTATTTCTACTAGTATTGTATAAAACAGAAAAACTTCCACAGAAGTCATAAAAGGTCACACAGTAATTTCACCTAATTTTCTATAATAACTCCCTTAACTACTGAAGAGGAGATGAGCATCTGGTATTCAAGATGGTATCATATTTGCTTATCAAATGTTAAGAGGAAGGAACTATAAAAAAGTTATAGAAAGTTGCTCACTTAAGCACCTCCATTCAGAGACCACAGTCATGATAACATATATTTTAACACCAGCAACTTCTTTTTCAGGGTCAAAAAGAATTAGGGCCCTTTAGAATCATTTTATTCAGCAGCAAATCACATAAAGGATAGAAGTCAGAAAAACTGGCTTTTATAGCTAATGGAATTGGTGGAAAAATTGTGTAACTTCGCCTCTGTTTTCTCACCTAGAAACAAAGCAGTTGGCTAAATAACTCATAAGGCTTACTTCAGCTCTTAACATTTTATGATACAGTGAATAATTATTCACAAACTGATAAAACAGAAAAGTCTATCTTTTTAGAATTTCTAAATCAGCAGGTGAAAACAGAGTTCATTGTTAGCCACCATTTTAAACTTTGCATCTAAACCTGTTTAGAAGACTCATCCATTTTTTTGAAAAATATTTTGTTTTTTTGAGGTAATTAAAAATCTTATTAAAAACCCAGTATGTGTCTAGCATTGATTATCTATTATGTGACAATCTTGCTGAGTTAAATAAACTTATTTAAATACCTTGCTTTTAGAAATCACTGCTCCAAAAGCCCTACAAAAGCCCTGCAGGGAAATATCACCTAAATGTCAGTGATTAATCTGCTAAACTGGCAAGGACTCACCTCCAATGTATCTGCTGTGCACGGCTTCACTAGATATAATAACCAAATTAACACTCGGTTTTCTGACATCACTCAAATTTACACATAATCCAAGATGGGGGATCCTAAAAAGCCATGCATATACCCCAAGCCAGTCTGCAATCAAACTGAGGAGCCAAGGCAAAGGTAGCAGGCAGGAGCCCGCCGTTCTAACACACAGGGAGAACGAGGCCAGGGATGGGTGACATGTTCACACACGTAATCCTGAATCAGAGGTGGCCCGAAGGGTTCAGGCAGCTGACATAAGACGACTAACATAGGCTGGCAGTTAGATGATAATTAGCACGTGATCCTTTCCTCGATGTCAAAATCAAGCTACAGTGGTGACTTGGGCACATATAAGCCTCGTTCAAAGAGCCCCCACTGAACCCTAGCCAACTGGCACCACCTGGGAAGACAGGTCATGTTGCCAGACCTTCCAAGTTTCAAAAAAAGCCAGAAATTCATTTTACACGTCTTGCTTGACTGTTTTAAACTGTGGCAAAAGACACATAAAGTGCATCAATTTACCATTTTTAAGTGTATAGTTAGGTCATCAGTGTTAACTATATTCATATTATTGTGCAATGGATCTCCAGAACTTTTTCATCCTGCAAAACTGAAACTCTATACCCATTAAACAACTCCCCATCTCTCCCAGACCTGGGCAACCACCATTCTACTTTTTGTTTCTTTGAATTTGACTACTTCAGATAACTTGACTTTTTTTTTTTTAATGTTGGCAACTAATTAAAATTTATACCATTGTGGGTGACCACCCATTTAGGACTGCTTCTGACCATTTATGGCCACTCAAAGCACTTCAATATTTCAAGAATGCGAAAGTCAGCCGGTAAAACACAGGTATGGTGCTAACATCAAAGTGAAGGACAAATTTTAGAGCCCAGATGTGCTTTTCTTGCCCTTAATTGTACTCTGAGAAAAGATGAAAGCTTTAAGATATACTTGCCATGAATTCTTACCATGCCTGCTTGATGCAAGAACCACATGAGGTAGTCTTCCTGAATGTCCACGAGATTGGAAATCTCAGGAATGTAAAATGTATCATATTCCACATGCTTCACTTTAAGATTTACCTGATGAAGAACAAAACAAGGACAACTAAAACCCAGGCAACTGGAAAGTGGTCCCCATAGAACATCTCAGTAGATCATTTTACCCTACTGTCTCCTCACCCCTCTCCCCACTGGCTCTTTTCTGTGCTCACCTTGTATAACTTCTCCAAGAGCTTCAGAGCTGCTGTAACATAATTGTTAAACAGTACGGGAATTAAGAATGTCTTTCTTCCTCTCAGGAGATAAACGACTGCACCTTTATAGAGGTTTACCAGCTTCATGAAATATTTCGGGCATACCTGAGACCACCAGTTATCTTTAGAAAGAAAGGAAAAACATATTTCAACCTGTAATCTTGATCAAGTATTAATGTCTTCTGCCTACTAGCTAAAAACTGCTGCAGCTAGAAAATAAACATTAGTCTAAAACACATGCTTCCCAAAACTGAGTCAAAAAAGAGTCCATTAAAGCATTTCTAGAGAGAGCAGCAGCTGTACAAGAACCCCAGAGCTTTTTCATAAAGCTGGATCTGATTTTTCTCCTCCCTTGAGGACTCCTTCAGAAGGCTGATCTAGAAGTTCAGTCCCAAGGGTACACATGGACAAGATGCTAAGGCACAGATCTGGGGCCGGAGCATTCACATATCCCAGTCCTCTCAGCCCTCTTCTCAGCCACCACCTAAGTCCAGCACCACGGATGCCGAGGACCACACGCCTCAGAAGCAGCACCCATACGGCAACTGGTCGCTCCTTTCAAGAAGCAACATTAGTTTGAAAAACTACTATTTCTGTTTCTTAGTAAACAATGCTTTCTGATAACCAGACAAGAAGACTATACCATTGGTTTCTACTTTGTCAGAAACAAACTCGGTCATACTAACATATTTATAGGATGAAATGATACAAATGTCTGAGATTTTTAAAATACATTCCAGAAAAAATGAAAAGGCGGTGGTAGGGAGAACGGAGGGGGAAAAAGGGCAAAATATTGATTATCAGGAATTTGTGTGATGGCTATCTGCAGTGTTCTACTTTGGGGGATTCTTTTAATTTAAATTTCTATAATTAGAAGTTAAAAACGAATTAAATGTAAAACCGAACAATTTTGATCTCTTTATAATCCAACCTGGAGAAAGTAAAATTAAAAACCCCCAAACTTAAAAGTCAGGTAATATAGGTAAAATATTCAGAGATTGCCATCTCTTATCTCACTGTCTATTAGAACACCTGGGAAAATATGCCCCAAAGGGCTTTTAATCCTAAAAAAATTAAGGACTAACATAGTACTAGTGCTTTCCTGATTATTTCTGTTTGTATATCTTCTTCAAAGGTGGAAGCAATATGGAAAAGCCAGTATTCCATCCTCAGCAATACAAGTCTCTTTATTCATGGGGAAATCACACTCAAGTAACATCCTAGTCCATATGGAACGCAGAAGTTACTGAGCTGCAGTGAATACCTAAAAAAAAATTTACCAAGGCAAAAAAAAAAAAAAAGGGAAAAGCCAGGTGACAGACTTTCTGCATTTGATTAATAAAAACATCTCAGGCGCTACTCCCATGAGAGACACTCTCCAATTCACTGAGGAACGGAAGGTTCTTATCTCAGCAAAGTGTCCGTAGCCTGCAAAAATCAGTGTGGACTCAACTGTCCTAAAAAAGAAAAACAAAACAAACATTTGGTAAGTCTCCACCAGGTCATTTTCTTCCTCTCCTTTTCTGGAGACCTGTGTATCACACCAAAATTGTTCATTTCACTCCCACCCCCTAAGTTAGGTATAGGAGAAAGAACAACAGATGGACACTCATTTTTGAAGCACTATTAACAACTAGTAAGTGTAGGAGGAGAAAAAAATAAAGTTGAATTATCTAACATTGTGAGTATTTAAAAATCAAGATTAGTCTGGCGTGAATCATTTCAAATAATCTTAAATAATGGTTCAGTTTCTAAATAATGGTTAATTTACAAATATAGCTAATTAGAAATTAATATCAAAGAAAGAAAAGTTTAAATGTTAAGGATATTAAATGGCAACAAACTGATTCTTGGATCTCAATCCACCGAGAGCCAATGGTCACACCAATAAAATAAAAAGCACAAAACCTCTGGTATTAGATGTAGCAAATTCACCTAAGACTTTGCTGGGGTTTGTATCCAGCCGCAGAATGGCCATCGCCAGGGGGATAGTCAACGTTATGTAGTACTTGGAATCCTGAAGCAGGGGAAACTCAGGGAGTATTAAGTAGATTCTCATTGCTTCAACATCTGGTGGTGAACTCGACAACTGAGGAATCAGGCAACTTTCAAAGCTATTCAGGATCTGTAGGAGAGAGAAGAGCACTGAGAAATTCAAACACTCCTGAGATCTAGTCCAACTCACAAACTATTTGAGAGACTCTCAACTCTCATTCATTCAGTATGTACCCAGGACCCACTATGGTCCAGGCACCGGTCTGGGCACCCAGGAAACATCAGTGAAAAGAAGAGCCAAAGATCCCTGCCCATGCAGACCTTACACTCTGGAGGGGCATTTCCTTAGAAAACTTGAGCCAAATAGAAAGCTAAAGGGAGATCAAATTCCCAAAGTGATTACAGAGTTAAGATTTACACAAGACTTTTTTACCTTTTCAACTTACTGTTTTTCTCTTGAAAGTTGTCTTATCTCAATGCAAAAATGCATTTTGAAGCACGCGCTCTGTAAATGTGAAAACCTACCTGCTCTAGAATCATGGAGTGCTGAGAGCTCATTAACTTCTCAAATAACACTCTCGTTGAGTTCAGGTCAATCCCAGGGATTTTGGGACTTGTTTTAAAATGCTCATCAATTCTAAACAAACAAACAAAAAAGGTGTAACAGAAGAAAAGTAAACACTCTGATAAAAATTATAAACAGGTAAATGAAAAAGCTTGTATGTACTTAATCAGACTTAAATTTGACCTGGCAGACAAGATGCACGGAAACATTATACTTTGGGGAAACCAGACGGAATAAATCTCTCTAGAATCCCTTTTTCAAGATGATCTTAAAATTGTCAAGTCTTTTTTCTCTCAAGTTAAAGGACAAGGATCATCATTTCAGTTTGAGGCTGTCTATATGCAGAGTATTATCTCCCGGATATACTCTTGTGTTTTTGCCTCTTTCTGTAATTGTGGTACATTAAACCAGACATAGAGGCTGTGCCTAAATGCAAAAACAAACAAACAAACAAACAAACAAACAAAAAAACCCACCCCTACTGCAAACTGGCCCACTCAGCAGCTAATGGCAAGCTTAAAGCAAGTATTTTTTTTTAATCAGATCTACAACAAATGCAAAGTTAACGTCTTTCTTAGTTAACGGAAAGGATACAATTACATTCACTCAAGGACTAATTTCACAGCTCCTGTTTTTAACTTCCTAGCAACTAATTATTTTCTACCCTTAAATAAAGTCTTAGCATTTTAGAGACTTAAGAGAATGTCTCTTTTAAATTCCCACTCTTGAACATACCACATCTATTAATTATAAAAGAACTATCTATTTGCAAAACAGGCTTCTGTTTATGCGTAACAGACACATTCAGATAGTTTTAAAACCACCTGACAGCAATGCTATAATTTATAAAAACATAAGTAGAACTTATAACATTTGAAAAAAAATCATAATTATATGCACTGGAACCTAAATGGTCAAATCAAGAGAAGATGTTTGGGCTTTGTTTGTGGGGTCTTCTGTTGCTGTCAGTCTAAATATAAATCTGCCCAAAACACAGAAATTAATTCTGATGTCCCATATGTAACCTTCCACATGCTTACAAGTACCTTCTGCTATGCTCTTAAGAAGCCTTTTAAGAAAATACTTAATCTACATGTATTTATGCTTCATTAAACTGGTCTTCATTTTCACTGGTTTCCTATGATGTATGCATAAAGCTGGGGGAACAGAACTCCTGAAACAGCACAGAAGTCCATTAAAAGAGAACAAAAGGCTTGACCCACACATCTACAGAATCCACGATACTAAGAACAGATAACCTTACAAACCTGGCCAAGAGCCATTCCCAACTTTCATACAAGTTGTCCTTTCAGAGCAAGGTTTCTCAGCCTTAGTACTTTTGACTTTTGGGGTCAGACAATTCTTTGTAGGGACTGTGAGATACTTGGCCTTTGCCTTCTAGATGCCAGGAGTATACACTCCCCCACTGTACAACCAAAAATGTCACCAGGCATTGCTGAATGTCCCCTGAGAAGCAAAATCAGCCTGGTTGAGAATCACTGTTCTAACAGACCAACATTAGCATAATACAGAATATTTTTCCCTGGAAGAAAAGGCTAAGAATTGACTCCAAAATGAATTGGATGAGCTCATTTCAGTTGCCCTAATGATACAAATAACGACTTTGCAATCTTTTACCATAACTGAATGGAGTTTCTGAAGCAACCTCTTGCAACCCAGCTAGGGACAGAATTTGTAAGGGAGAGGAGGGCGGGGAGGAATAGGGTTCACACACAGAACAAAAGTCTCCTGGGATTTCATTAGCCTTATCTCTGGAAGGAAAAGAATGGAGAGATGCTCAGGACTTGGGATTACCAAAGAGCAAAACCCATGACAAGACGTCCCGCTGTAGTAAGTTCCTGAGGGGGTTATTTGCAGAAGGGATTAAGGCCAAGCAAAGAAACATTTACTACTGGAGAGTTCAGGCCAAACGTAATTTCCTGGTGAGCTGGGCTGGACCTGAGTCCAAGGAATCCTGAAGTCCACTTGGAAATTTCCCTAAATTTACTCTTTTTGAGAAAAGAAACAACTATAGGAAAGCAAACCAAAGAAACCAAAGAGATTATTTGAAGAACTAAGAATTTAAGAACAAATACTGTACACATGGTGGGAGTAACATCTTGGAACACCCTGAAAAATCTTACTTTTGATTACACCAGACCTTTCTGAGATGCTGTCTGTCTCTTTGGTCCTCTGCCTCTCTGCCAACCAGGCGAGAGTCAGCACTGCCTTTCCTGATGTCCTCTCATTCATCGTCATTAGGTATGCTAATTTTTGCACAAGTCATCAGCTTATCCACTGAATTAAGGCCAACCACCATCAAAGAGAACAGAAGTCTTTGGCGGCCTATGCTGAGTAAGCATTTGATCACACATGGGTATTTTTTAAGACTCTAAGTCACTTACTTTTTTTCAAGAAAACTTCCATTCCAACAGGCTGCAGAAGACAATATCTGAACAACACCACTGCTCAGAAAGAAAAAGGGAGGGAAGCCTTTAATAATTACAAATAAATGGTTATTTAAGCGTCAGCAACAGGTTAATCACCTATTCCAGGGTTTCATTAATAGCTGCTCTTTCTTACCCAGGTGAAGCTTTGGAAGATGTACATTTGCTTTAGAGAAACATTGTGTCACATCTCAAAATGGACAAGAACTTAAGTTTTACATAAGTCATGTTAAAATTTTTAAAAAGTATCAAAGCTACCAAAAGAAAATTCTTGGGCCTAATAATGACCTTGAACATTCCTCTCCTACCAACAATCTAAGACACTATCCACACCTCACCTCCAAACATGAACACAAAATAAACCCAAAAAAGAGAGGCTGAGCTGTTATTTACCAAACACAGAAAGTATCTTTGCAAATTCATAACTGAACAAACACTTTTATTTTGTTGCCCATCTGAGAAAAACTAAAAATAAGTGAAGTAAGTGTTTATTCCTATTACTGAGATTACACAGCTTCTGGGAAAACAGCTAGTTTCTGAGGAACCAGAGTGAAACCACAGGTCAGGAACCCCGGGCCCTCTTCTTTAGTGTAAGGAAAAGGGGGGGAATAAAAAATATATATGGTTGAGGAGAAGATCACAGTAACTGCTGTTGATCAAAGAATCTGGGTCAGGAAAGATCTTAGGAGATCATTTCTTGCATCCCTTTATTTTGTAAATAAGAAAACTGAGAATTAAAAGTGCCAAGGTCCCAGCAAAGGGAGTCTGCAGTCCCCGCACCGCGCCCACGGTGAGTCTAGACCCCATCCCCTTCCCCGCCACCTTCCAGCTTTAACTCCCTGGCAGAGCCTCTCAGGGGTTATGGGGATTCTGAGGACTGCCGTGGAGGTGCTCTAAGGCATTCCAAATGATCACCTGCTTCAAAAGTTGCTACCTGGTGTGCCCAAAGTTTAAGGCCCTGGGCTTTGCCCCACTACAGTTTACATCATAAGGCAAGATGTTTTTTACACTTTTCTGGGCATGACCACCATCTAGGAAACACAGCATGATTCATTCATTCCCAAGAATAAGACTCTGCAGAAAAATGGAAAAGCTGAGGAAAGCCATAAAATGTGCAACAAAGTTAAAAAAAAATTCTCTTTTAAGAATAAAATAAATTTGCTGAACGGTCTCAATCCTTTAACTATACTTTTTTTTCCTACTTGACACTGAATTACTATCTCAGCTTATCATTTTGAATGTGAAAATGCTAGAAGTATTCAGATTAGGTAAAACAACAGCTGTCCTGGGGCTTGGGATGCTTTGGAATAGGCACACGAAGAAACTCTCAGGGTTAAACAACAGTAACACTGAGCTTTCAAAGCAGAAAGGCCAGATCAGGCCTTCATCAGTCAGAATTTTTAAGATCCGAACAAGGCAGGTTGAGGAATACGCTCTAAATAAAAATGGGAGAACAATCTATCATGTTCTTTAGAGCTAAGGGCACCAAACCCTGAACAATGTGTGCAAAAAAAAAAAAAAGGTTCCTAAAATGAAAAACTCCATTTAAATTCACAAACTTAATGTGGAAGTAGGGAAAGTCCCTAAGCTAGAAAGTTCCAATACACTTCCGCAAAAAAACAAATACAAGCAACACGTACTTGATGGTATTTGCATTGTTGTGTTCTGAGAGTTTTTGTCTCCAAACTGCTATGGTTTCATCATTTATTAAACTGGTGTAATGCGCTTGGTTCATCGTCCTGAAGTCAACAGCAGGAGAAGAATTCTGAAGGGTCAAATATAAGAGTAAAAAAGAGAAATTATGTGATAGCATGGATCTTTTCTCCTCTCCCTCTCCTTATGTGGTCCCCATTCTGTGTTTCACTTATGGACAGGGCCCTCCTTCAGAGGGAGGCACTCAGTGCCCCCAGGCTGGCAGTGTAGGCTCCTGACAGCTCCCAGCAGGGCTGCCCTCTGGAACTGCCGGGGCTACCGCTTCATTCCTTTCCCATCTGGCAGCAGGTGGAGCTGTGGCACCGGGCCCAGTCCCCTTGCCTCCACTCAGGACTGGCTGAAGGGCCATCCCAACTTCAGAGACCCCGTGGGACCAGCCAAGGCCCCTGCCACACTGACCTGAAGTTCAGCTTCCCCTCCTGTCCAATCCTACCTCCTTCATCTCTCAGGAAGTGTTGTTCTAGAGCACACACACCCCCTGCCCCAATTCTCAGGCTCAGAGTCTGTTTCCCAGAGAAACCAAACCAATATGACTTTTTCAGATTTCTTTCCCCTCTGCTTGAATCACCGTAACATCAAGGGTTTTAGATGACTAACCAATTGCCATAGCTGTTCGCCAAACCTCAGCAAAATATATTATAAAAAGTCAGAGTTCAGTTATCATCTACATTGCAAATAATCGATGAAAATTTAATGCCTCTTAATTTCTTGCTCAAAATATAGAGCTGCAAATTTGTAAGAAAGGTAACAAAAAGGACATGTCAATAATGGCCTTGAAAATCCTCACTGCTGCCTACCCTGTACTGTACATCCTTCATTTAGTGAGGTTGTTAAAAATAAAGCACTTTTATTTCCTAAAATTGCTTTTTCAACTTATTTTCCCAAATCCTGTTCTTGACCTAGAACTAAGAAGAAGCTGAAAGTGCCTTATGCCTCCTGTACTTGCCACTAGAAATGAGGAAAAAAGTGATATTAAAGCATTAACCAGATGATAATTTTTTTCTCCTTTGTATCTGTGCACAAAAACACAACTTTCAAAGTAAATTTTCTTGGTTATTTTCTCAGAGTTATGAGTTAGGATATCATTATAAGGGAAAAGGAGGAGAACATGTAACAAATCAGAGATGCCAAAGTTTATTACCATCTGGTTCTTGATAATTATTTTACTAAAATGGCCACAGATAACTATTGAGAGGACAAAAGTCATCTTGAATCACACAGAGAAAAACCATAAGACAAACTGGACACTTGAGAACATACAAACAAGATCACCTCTCCACCGTGGTCTTAAAACCACTGTTGTTGTGTAAATTTTAATTACTTTCCTCATTCAAAGGTGTAGTGGAACACAGACACTAACACATACTTATGATAAAATATAAACATGGGACTATTTTCTCATTCTTCATTGCAAGTCCAATAAACCACAGATGACTTAGATGAAGTACAATCTCAGAGTCACATAAAGACCCAAGAAAAAGCATCAATTTTCCACGCCTTTGAATTACATATATCCCAAAAGAAAAAACTGGTCTAGGCCAGTGTCTCTCAACCCTAGCCGCACTCTGGATTTCAGAGCTTTCAAAACCCCATAGGCCAAGTCACACTCTCTAGCAGCAGCAGCGTTTTTTTGGTTTAAAAAAAACCCTAGGTCAACCTAACCCTACACCAGAAGGAACTAGAACAAACAAAATCCAAATTCAGTAGAAAGAAAAAAAAAATCAAAGATCAGAGCAGAAATAAATGAAACAGAGACAAAAAAAAACATTAGGAAAAGATCACCGAAACTAAGAGCTGGTTCTTTGAAAAGATAAACTAAACCGATAAACCTTTAGCCAGACTAATCAAGAAGAAACAGAGGCCAAAACAATAAAATCAGAAATAGAAGGATGGGTATAGCTCAGACACTAAAACCAGAGCTACCATACACATACACACACACACAAATTAAAGGCCAATATCACTAATTAACACAGATGCAAAAACCTTTGACAAAATATTAGCAAGACAAATTCAACAATACATTAAAAGGATCATACATCATGATCAAGTAAGACTTATCCCAGGAAGCAAGAGTTTTTCAATATCTGCAAATCAATCAGTGTGATGCATCACATTATCAAACTGAAGAATAAAAACCATATGATCATTTCAATAGATGCAGAAAAAACTTTTGACCAAATTCAACATCCATCTATGATAAAAACTCTCCATAAAGTGGGTATAGAGGGAAGATACCTCAATATAATAAAGGCCATATATGACAAGCCCATAGCTAATATTATACTCAACAGTGAAAAGATGAAAGCATTTCCTCTAAGATCAGGAGCAAGACAAGGATGCCCACTCTCACCACTTTTATTCAACACAGTATTAGAAGTCCTAGCCACAGCAATCAAACAAGAAAAAGAAATAAAAGGAATTCAAATTGGAAATGAAAAGTAAAACTGTCATTGTTTGCAGATGACATGATACTATACATAGAAAATCCTAAAGATGCCACTAAAAACTACCTGAACTCATCAGTGAACTCCAAAAAGCTGCAGGATACAAAATTAACAGAAATCTGTTGCATTTCTACATACTAACAGCAAATTATCAGAAAGAGAAATTCAGAAAATAATCCCATTTACCATCATATCAAAAAGAATAAAATACCTAGGAATAAATCTAACTAAGGAGGTAAAAGATCTATACTAGGAAAACAATAAGAGACTGATTAAAAAAATTAAAGGTGACACAAATGGGAACATATACAGTGTCATGGATTGGAAGAATTAATATTGTTTAAATGACCATACTACCCAAGGCAATCTACAGATTCAATGCAAGCCCAATCAAAATACTAAAGGCACATTTCACAGAATTTGAACAAATCTAAAATTTGTATGCACACACAAAAGACCCCAAATAGTCAAAATAATCTTGAGAAAGAAGAACAAAGCCAGAGGTATCATGTGCTTTGATTTCAAACTATTCTACAAAGCTACAGTCTTCCAAACAGTATGAAGCTGTCATTAAAAAAAAAAAAAAGACAGGATTAATAGTGTAGAATAGAGAGCCCAGAAATGAACCCACATTTATATGGGCAATTAATCTATGATTAAGGAGGCAAGAATATACAATGGAGAAAAGACAGCCTCTTCAATAAATGATGTTAGGAAAACTAGACAGCTACATGTAAAAGAATCAAACTGGACTACTCTCTCACACTATGCACAAAAATAAATTCAAAATGGATTGAAGACTTAAATATGAGACTTGAAACCATAAAACTTCTGGAAGAAAACAAAGGCAGTACTATCTTTGACACTGGTCTTAGTAATATTTTTTGGTATGTCTCCTCAGGCAGGGAAACAAAAGAAAAAATAGACAAATGGAACTACATCAAACTAAAAAGCTTCTGTACAGCAAAGGAGCCACCTACTGAATGGGAGAAGATATTTGCAAATGATATATCTAATAAGGTGTTAATAACCAAAATATACAAACTCATAAAACCCAAAGAAAGAAAAAATATCCAACTTAAAATTGGGCAGAGAAACTGAAAAGACATCTTTCCAAAGAAGACATACAGATGGCCAACAGGCACATGAAAAGATGCTCAGCATCACTAATCATCAGAGAAATGCAAATCAAAATCACAACGAGATATGACCTCACACCTGTCAGAATATTCGTTATCAGAAAGACAATAACAAGTGTTGGCGAGAATGTGGAAGATGGAGAACACTTGTGCACTGTTGGTGGGAATGTAAATTGGCACAGCCACTATGGAAAACAGTATCGAGACACTCAAAATACTAAAAATAGAACCACTATATGATCCTGAATTAATTAACCTGAAGAAAACAAAAACACTATTTTGAAGAGATACATGCACTCCTATGTTCATAGTAGCATTATGTACAGAAGCCAAGATACGGAAGCAACCTAAGTGTCCACCAACGGATGGATAAAGAAGATGTGGTATATATGTATATATAATGGAATATTACTCAGCTGTAATAAAGAATGAAATCTTGCCCTTTGCAACAATATGGATGAGCCTAAAAGGTATTATGCTAAGTAAAATAAGTCAGACTGAGAAAGACAAATACTGTAAGACCTCACTTATATATGGAATCTAAAAAGCAAAACAAATAACAAATACTCAAAAACAAAGAGAGTCATAGATACAGACAATAAACAGAGGATTGCTGGTGGCTGGTGGGGATGGAGAGAAACAGATGAGGGAGATTAAGAGGTACAGATTTCCAATTACAAAATAAACAAGTCACAAGTGTGGGGAATACAGTCAATAATTACAAAATATCTTTGGTGACAAACAGTAACTGGACCTATTGTAGTGCTCATTTTGAAATTATAGAAATATTGAATCATTATGTTGCATACCAGGAACTAATATAATGTTGGAGGTTAACTATACTTCAAAAACAAAATCACTCATAGAAAAAGAGATCATATTTGTGGTTACCAGAGGCAATGGATAAGGGGAAGCGGGAATTGGAGGAAGGTAGTCAAAGCCACAGATTTTGAGTTTTAAATAAGTACTAAAGACATAATGTACAACCTGATAAATACAACTAACACTGCTGTGTGTGTTATGAAAGTTGTTAAAAGAGTATATCCTAAGAATTCTCATCACAAGGAAAAAACACTTTTCTATTTCTTTAATTTGGTATCCATATGAGATACTAAATGTCCACTAAACTTATGGTGGTAACCATTTCATGATGTATTTAATTAAATCAAAGCATTACACTATACAGTGCTGTATGTCAATTACATTTCAATAAAACTGGAAGGAAATAAAATAAAGCCCACAGGTGATTTCAATGGGCCACCAAGGTCGAGGATAACTGTTCCAGGAAAAGAGGATAATGTCACTTTAGCAGGTTTTGAGTCAGGCAAGTTGGCAGGCAGGCAGACACACCACACACACACACACACACAATCTCAACCACACTCCTTCAATCCTAACCAGGGAACAATAGGAAAAGAAGAGGAGAGGCTATGGTTTGCACTCAATAAATTGTCAAGACCTAGAATCAAATGCAGCGGAGTATCCAAATAGCGTGCCTCCCCTCTTCTTCCACCTCCGGCCTGGCATGAATGAATGAATCTGAGTTTTACAAAAATGGAGCCTGTCACACACAGATGCTTTTTTTTGGGTCTTTAAGAGATTCTTCAAGTGTCATGGTAACAGATTAAACAAATATTTTGATCCAACTCTGTATCTAAACACAAATGCTTAATAGCTTAAGTATAGAGGTTTCAGCTTTTAAAAGATAGAGCAATACTTTCCTAAGTCATATTCTTTCTTCTCTGTATCTTACATTTTAATGCAAGTCACTCTTACCAGTTGTTTAAACTTGAACCTGCCCTGTTTCTTCAACAACATGTCACTTAACTTCCTTTTCATCAGTTTTGTTCACCAGTCCTGACAGTGTTAATTACAATAAAATTAAAATCCAACTACATGTATCAGATACCATATTTGCAAAAGGAATGAACTAAATTTTATGTTGAATTTCACAGGAAATTTATAGTTGGTTCATCAAGCCAGTTTCTTAGGGAAATGAATACTTCAAACTCTACTACTTGTGGACACAAAGTTATTACCCTGCAGAGATTCGGTGCTTTTTATATTTCGCTTTATTGGCATCTTGAAGAAACAAAGAATAGTCTCAGCTTTTCTCAAGGTTTCTCTGTGAAGCACTGAGGCTGGGCCTAAAATAGGTGTAAAGCAACAGTTCCAAATCACCCCAGATGGTTGCACTGAACAGAACCTTCTCCTGGTTCCTGATCTGGAAAGTATCTCACTGTCAGTTTCAGCTGTCCAACCTGCAGCCTCGGGCTCCATCACAACCTTTTCCACCAAAATCATAGAATGATACTGACTAGAAAGCAAGAACACTGTATATTTAAAGAAGGCAAAGTATCAGAGTAATGGGAGAGTTTCCAGCACTGAAAGGGCCCCTTGTGTCCACAGACCCTCATTTTCTTCCCAACCTATTCTAATTCTTCTGTCTTCGCCAATGCCCCTTGCCTGCTCCTCCAGGGGAGGATGAGGATGAATGCACTACATATGGTTGGTCCTCCTTAAGTGCTTGTTGAATAAAAGTTGGGGAGAGGGGGAGGAGAGGAAACACAAGAGCAGGGGACTGGGTGGCAGACGGGGAGGCAGAAGACAAATCTGAGGTGCTAATTTCAGACTGATTCCTCTCATCCAGGAAGGGAGGAATAAATTAAAGCTCTGTCACAGATACCTGGCCCACATTCTCTTCCACCTTCGACCCTGAAAGACACTGGAACATCATTCCTGATTTACCCACCACAGTGGTGCAGGAGACAATCTGAGGGAAATTTCAGCATGCTGCTATGAGCAGATGATAAATAATAAAGGATATCTGAATAGCACGGCATCTCATATTTAGGATATACTCAGTTACATCAGAAGAGCCCAGCAAGTTCTTAAATACCTAGCATTTATTGCTACTTAATGGGAAAGGAAAGAATGGAAAGTCAAATAATCCCAAAGTAAGTAAGTAATGCCTCCTTAAGTCTCTTTTGGGACAAATACAGATATAAGTAAGTCATTTAAAATTATAAATTAGAACTCTGTGATTAAAATACCAAGAAAATTATTGGCACTTCAAGGGAATAAAATGGAGAGAACCTCAGGTTTAATTGGCTTATTTTAATAAGATAAAATTGGTGGAAACAAAGAGTAACATTGCTCTCATGTAATTAAATAAATTAAAATAAATATTGGTTCACCATTATTCCACCCCCAAAATAATAGTCAAAAGAAAATTTTACCTCATATTTGGAGCAAAGTACAAAAGTTTGGTCTCCTCCAGAGAAAATCTGCTTAACAATGTGATATTTAAAGCGATCTGTCAAAAAAATTTTCAAGAGCATATTTTTCAACAATTGAAGTTTTCCCTTGATCCCCTTTCTTAATATTCCAAAATATACTTCAGAGTGGTTTCCTATCCATTTAATTATTTCAGAGAAGTCAGAAACCTTCTTTCCTGGCTCTCTTCCCAGGACTGTTTCTACTTCAATTAAAACTAAATATATAACATGGTACCTTCCACTCCAACCCTCCCTCCCTCCCTCCCCCGACTGCCAGCTAGTCCTGGCCTTGTTCCTATTTTTCATTCTAACTCTACCACACCATGCCACTGACCTGGAATTTAAAACAGTCACTACTATAAACCGGAACATACGCTAAGAAATCATCCAGCATCTGAGTGTGGTGGTCCTTAGCCCCTTCAGGATGAAGCCTGCCACAGAAGGACCTCCATGTCACACTCCCTGTCCGATTCCATCACACCGTGTCCGTGGTGACACTCTCACACCGCTTTCATTTCTAATACACCACACCATCCTTACGTCCAAGCCTTTTCCATCCACCAACCCCAGTGCACACTGTATTCTCTGTGAATGGCGCCTCCTAGAGCATAACTGGGAAGGTGCTCCTGGAACTGAGCAATTCCATGGTACTCACCACTGCCCACTCCCTCATAGTCCTCTACCTGGCTAACTCCAAATCATCCTTTCAGACACAGCTCAAACTTCCTCTAAACGGAATACTCCTTGATGCCTTCCTCTGTGCTCCCACATTACCAAGAAGGTTCCTAAAACCACAGCATTTACATAATAAATTGAAATTTACCTACTTAAGGTATAAAATCACATTGACAAACATCCAAGCACAAATCTATGATCACATCAGTTATGCTGTAATTAAACTTCAAAAATTTATAGTTTCAAATTAAGCTGTAAAATACTTGAGCTTTTTAAATTGGTGTACTTCTTAAACATACACATTCCTAACATGAGTACAATGCCTTGGAGAAAAAGAAATTTACAAATAGACAAGAGAACACCAAGCTATTCTTTCATTTTGTGGAACATCAGCAAAACAAAATCTTGTTTATTTTATATTTCAAGTTCCACTACATTTTAGATGCTTATTTGTTCATTATAAATATTTACTGAGTGAGAAGTTTGTGTCTGGTCCTGTGCTATATGCCAGGTTTATAAAGAGAAAAAGATTCAATCCCTTTACTTAAGTTTATAATCCAGAGATATGGATAATTGTTACTGTTAAAACAAAATTCTGATCAAGCCGTAAGTGTGTCACTCTATGGTCTTCAAAATCAAAATTAATTATTAAATCACACTTCTTTTTAATGACTCTACCGCTCCATTTTAGCCTCTGGATTTATTATGTCAAGTTACTCTTACTGAATGACTGCCTTATTTTGATTTCCAATGAAGTGAACACTGTGCTATTTAACTGTTTTTTTTAAGAGAAAAAAAGCAGCATGAAAAGAAATCATGTCATGTTGTGACCAAAACAGCAATGCACAAGCATTAAGAGCACAAGCTTGAGACTCACGGATACAGAGAACAAACCAGTGGTTACCGTGAGATACAAACTACTGGGGTGAGGTAGGCTACAAAGATGTATTTACAACAATGGAGAATATAACTAATATTTTGTAATAACTGTAAATGGAGTGTGACCTTTAAAAATTATATAAAATAGTTTTAATTTAAAAAAAAAAAAAAGAGCGTAAGTTTTAAAATGAGGCAGACCTGGGTTTAAATCCTGGCCCCAGAATCTATATCATCTTGGGCAAGTTAACCTCCTTAAGACTCAATTTCCTCATCTCCAAAATAGAGATAATAACCATTAGTTCTTAAGGTTGTTCTCAGTGCTTAGCATAATACTGGAACTTAGTTAAGCACTGAATAAACATTGACTCATTATCAGCAATAATAATAATAAATAAAATGCATACACCACTATCAAGGTCATTAGGGCCAAAATTACATTTTTTGCTTTATTCTCTAGGATCTCAACTACAGAGTCTCGTGCAGAGTAAATACTCCCATAATTTTTTATTGATGTTAAAAGAAAATATCTCATTCATTCCCTCCAAAAGACCTCAAGGTAAAAAATACATGTTCTATAAACAATTGTTTGTAGCACTTAAAATATCATTAAATTCCAATGAAAATCACTCTTACCAGCCCTGGCTGAAAGCTGGCCACTATGGGCAGCCCAGTAACCTTTCACGGGAGATGGGCACTTGACATTACAAGTGTGTCCAGTTCCTAATTGACCTCTCGCTCCACAACCAAATGCATAGATGAGTCCAGAAGAAGGCACGAAGGCTAGGGTATGTTGTCTGGGGAAAAATTATGTAAGTTAACTCATCAGCATCATTTCTACTGACATGAACGAATATACACCCTGGCTATTTCTGAGTAGAACCCCATCCTTCTCTGACACCCTAGTTCACCAGTGGGATGGCGAGACTGGAAAAGAGCTGAAGGGACTGCTGCATTTGCGGTGTGTGGGAAGAAGCAGCGTGGACCAGTAAAATTTCCCAGAAGTGCTTTGAGGCGCTTTCACTTTCCTTTGCACGTCTCCCCAACATCGTGCTACTCTTTATCCCCAAACAGGCGTACCAGCCCCATGTTACTCTGCTTCTCTAAAACCCTTCCTTGCCACACCCTGCTCAGATCTGACTCTCCAAACCTTCGCCGTAGGTGCACATGCAATTGGGATGTCTTAAAATGATGGTGGTTGCGTCTAACCGCATTCTCTGTCACTGCAAAGATCCCTTTCTGGGTCTCAGTAGATACGAGGAAGCTCTTAGGAGCACTCACCTGCCACAAGCAATCTGCGTTACTTCACTGCCCATCAGCTCCAGAACTCTTCTCGGATTAACCTCATCATTCATGGAGTCGTGTCCAAGCTGCCCACAGGAACCAGCACCAAAGGTAAACACACCTCCACTCTAACAAAGAACAAATACCACATGACTGCACTGTACCTCTGAGTTTGGGTACACTCCTCCGAAACCCTCCATATACAAAATTTATATCACCACTACACTCACCTGATACTTAGCCAAATCACTCCTTTGGAATGTTTGTTAAATAAAAAAATAACAGAAAAGAACTGAAGGCTACATCTTTGTGGAACAAAGATAGTTCAAGGGGATGTATGCCATCTATAAATGCTGAAAATTATTTAAAAACACAGTGATGTGTTAAGAAGCAACACAAAAAAAAGGAGAAAAAGATAGGTGAAATGAGATTAATTTTTCATGATCATTCATACATAGGAAACTAAATTTTTAAAAAAAGCATAAATACATAACATAGACTCATAGACATAGAATACAGACTTGTGGTTGCTAAGGGGGTGGGGGGTGGGAAAAGATAAGACTGGGATTTCAAAATTGTAGAATAGATAAACAAGATTATACTGTATAGTACAGGAAAATATACACAAAACGTTATGGTAGCTCACAGAGAAAAAAATGTGACAATGAGTGTGTATATGTCCATGTATGACTGAAAAACTGTGCTGAACACTGGAATTTGACATAACATTGTAAAATGATTATAAATCAATAAAAAAGTTTAAAAAAAAAGAAAAAAGAAAAGAAAAAAGATCTTATGGTAGCTCACAGAGAAAGGAATGTGACAATGAATATATATATGTTCATGTATAATTAAAAAATTGTGCTCTACACTGGAATTTGACACAACATTGTAAAATGATTATAAATCAATAAAAAATGTTAAAAAAAAAAAAAAAAGAAACTAAATGCTCCAGACTCCTTGGTAAGATTTTTTTAGCAGCTGTACTTGAACAAATGCTAACGTATTTTATTAAAGTGAATCTATAATAGTATTTTTGACATGAAAATACATTTTCATTCTCTATGGATAGCAAATAAATAGGTTGATAATTTTAAAACATTATATTGCTCTTTCTTATATATATTTAAATGGCTTGTTTTAAAGGAACACAGAATATTGCTATATATACTATATTTTTAAGGTTATAGATTTTGAACTATTTTTAAACACTATCACTACTCTCTCTAAAAGACACTATCAAAAATAATCAAGCAATAATCACCCACATCATACCCAGCAACAAAGTGCCACAGAACAAGCCAGAACACTCTGAGTCCCTTACCTTTGTAAGAACTGCTGTATGCTCTTCTCCACAACTAATATAGACAACTTTTTGTGTTCGTAGAAGCTTCACGTGGCAAGGAGACTCTCGATCTAGAATAAGAGAAACACTAGCATGTCACTACCATTTGCCTTGGAGATGAAACATACACAGCTATCAGAGCCTAAATTTTAGGTCCCCCTGGGATTCCTGACTCACATATTCAGCTTCGTGACTGAACCTCCACTTGGATGTCTAATAGACATCTCATTTTTAATATATTTAAAACCTAACTCATGGATTCCCCATACTCCCCAACTTGTCCACTCATCCCCCGCCCCCAAACCCAGATACATACAAAGTTTCCCTCATTTCATAAATGCAACTTTATCCTTTCAGCTTTTCCTCTCTTTATTTCAATCTACACATTCAACAATGAGCAAAATCAACTGGCCCCACCGTCAAAATATATTTGAAACCCATCTTTATTGCCATTGCCTCCAAACTGGTCTTCCAGCTTCCCCCTGAACCCACTTTAGGCAAAGCCAAATTAGATCACTCTTCTCCCCAAACCTTCAGGTCTTGCTCCTTCACCGAGAGAAGCTGACATCTCACTTTGCCCTTCAGGGTCCCACGTAACTGGGCCTCCCAACCTCTCTGACCTCCAGCTCTGCTGCTTTTCTCCTGTTCATCCCACATCCCATATCCTACTGCATCAGAGCCTTTGCACACCCTGTTCCCTTTGACTAGAACATTCTTCGCCCATATTTCTATCAACATAGAAATCTCCTCTCCGATCTGACTTCCTACAGGGTTCTGCTCAAACTTCTTCTCCGTGGCCACCTTAAGTAAAACAGGAAACTTTCCTCTCAAGCCCCCGACATACTGTATACTTACTGGCTTCCTGTTTGCTTCTGCTTGCTAGCATGCAATCTCCACTAAGCCAAGGGTATTGTCTGTTTTGGTCCTTTCTGCACCCTTAGTGCCAACACGGGGCCAGCACATAAAAGATCTTCAAGAAGCATGTATATCAAACAAATGAAGTTAAGAGGTACACATGAGGGAGGGTATAGTTCAGTGGTAGAGTGCATGCTTAGCATGCACAAGGTCCTGGGTTCAATCCCTAGTACTTCCATTTAAAAAATAAATAAATATAGAAGGGACTGGGCATAGCTCAGTAGTAGAGCCCATGCTTAGCATGAGCTAGGTCTGGGGTTCAGACCCAGTACCTCCATTAAAAAAATACTAAAATAAAATAAATATATAAACCTAACTACCTCCCTCCCAACAATAAATTTTTAAAGAAAAATTAGTACACATGAAGAGTTTACCTACCTTCCTCATCACTGAGCCCTAGCTGTCCTGCATTATTCATCCCCCAGCCAAAAACAGCTCCTGAGAGAGACAGGGCAAAGCTGTGGGCCCCTCCTGCAGCCACCTGCGCCAGTGGGATCCCCTCCAGGGACCTCACCCTCTGCGGGCTGGCCTGGGAGGGGAACTCCTTTCCCAGGCCCAGCTGCCCATGGCTGTTCTTCCCCCATGTGAAGAACTGACCATCTGAAATGAGAACAGGGTAACTGGTATTACCAAAAGCATACAAGTTCCACCCACAAGAATAACCTTGTTATTTTAGAGTCATTCAGCAGGCTCACCCGCTAGTTGCTCAGCCCCCAACACACATATGCCCACCACCCAAAGCAAGGGAGCAGACACACGTCACACTGGAAGACTCCCACAACTAGAAGTCCCACTGTCAGGACAACAGAGAGACAAGCTGCAGTTTATCACCCTTCAAAGGCTGTGAACATTTATGTAAAGAAAAAATTAAATACTAAAGTCAGTTCAGTTTTGAATATGCCAATTACCAGGCTTAGATATCCACTGAGCAAGGTGAACTAGTTCTGACCACACCAAGACCACGAGAGCCCCAGGACTTGGTGGGATCCAGCCATGACCTGGACCACCCCACAGAGAATCAAGCAGGACACGTTTGTGCTGACTTTCTCCCAGATACAATCTGCCAGAATACAGCATTATCTGCTGTCTTAGGTTTTTCTTACTCCTCCTTTTTTATTTGGGAGCTTCATGGTGGAATATAACTCGATAGTGAGCTGTAGCTAACAAAAACCAATTTTCTGCTCAAGAACATTGAACTACAGTCCTGCCTCCGCTCATCCCCCCCAAGAGAAAGGTGGAGCAGCAATAATGACCACCTCCATCACCATCCACACCCTGAGGAAAGTATGAGCTACATAAAGACTGTCTGAGAACTGCCGCTGCCTAACAGCAATGTGCAGACCCTAACTAGTTAGTCAAAGGTATCCAGTTAGATAACATCACACAAAAATGCAAAGAGAAATGATTTCCAAATTAACATAACATTAACATATATTTTAACATTACATTACCAGCTGCAAGAGCCAAGCAATGCCAGTTGCCACAGGAAACTTGTAATATTGTCTGCTGGTTCAGCTTTTGTATTAACCTAAAACAGAAAAGGCTTTCCTCTTAAGAAGGGCATTCACAAACAATGATCAGAAATATTCCTGACCAAATAACACAGTTGTAATAAAATACATCTTTCACAAAAGACTTTTGAAAATCAAATATATAATCTTGCGTGATATAATTCTATTAGGTCTTTCACTGACCTCCTGCTTCTTAGGTAGTTACTGTTTTTACAAACTAAATAATAAACAACTTATTCTGCACTTAAAACCATCGGCATTGCCATAACCCTCTGTTAATTACCACCTTACCATCTCCAATTCTAGGAGAAAAGGAGTGAGCTACAGAAAAGAGACGACTAAGAACATAGCTGGTGTCTAAATGGCTTTCAAATGAGGGCAATGCCACGATCCAGTAACCCCACTTCTGGGTATAAATCCAAAAGAACTGCAAGCAGGGTCCCAAAGAGATATGTGTACACCCACATTGAGAGGAGAAATGGGCAGTTGTCCTTAAATGAGTTCGGAGTTAAATTTCTGCAAGATAAAAAGCTTCTGGAGATTGGTTACGCAACAGTGAGAGTATACTTAACATTACTGAACAGTACACTTAAAAATGGTTTAGATGATAAATGTTATGAGTATTTTATGAACATTTTAAAAAATTATTAACGGCAATGCCTCCAAACCTCTGATTCCCTAGGATGGTAATGAGGACGATCAGATTATAACCTGCTTCTCTGCTTGTTCATGTGAAAGACAGAGATAAGAACAGTACCTATTCATAGGGTTGTGGTGAGAATTAAATGAAAAAAATCCACGCTTGGTGCAGCCCAGCAGAGCTGGACAGCCTGCAAATATCTCCTGCTCCCTGTTTTAACAATTCACAAGTTGCCGTGTTCCTCTTCATTAAGTGTATGCCATGGGAGCTAAGGGTCAGATAAGGCCAGCTCCAGGGAGAGGGGCATTTTAGAAAACAGACGTCCAAGAGGGGAAGAAGGGTTATTTAGAGTGATAGGCAGATGTTGCTTTTGTTATGGTTTATCTTCTCAGATATAAAATGTTTATAAAATAGAGTTCACATGTGCGTTTAGTACCAAATAGAGCCCAACTAATTTTTTTAGATAATTGTAGGTTCAAACGCAGTTAAGGAAAAATAACAGAGATCTCTTGTATACTTTGTCCAGTTTCCCCCAATGATGACATTTGCAAAACTATAGTATAATATTATAACAAGGATATGACATTAGTACAACCTACCAATATTATTCATATTTCCTCAGTTTTATTTGTACTCATTTCTGTGTATGTATTGTTTTTTATCACGTGTATAGGTTCATGTAGCCACCACTACAGTCAAGACACTCTATGGTTCCAACAGCACAAGGATTCCTCATGCTGTACTTTTACAACCACTCCTCCCCGCCCCTATTCATAGCCCCTGGCAACCACTAACCTATCCTCCATTTCCAAAATTTTGTCATTTCAAGAATGTTATATAAATGGAATGATATAGGAGGTAATTGTTTAGGATTGGCTTCTTTTTCACTCAGAATAATTCCCTGGACATTTGTCCAAACTGCTGCATGTATCAACAGCTAATAGAACACACTATTTTTTTAATTGGAACATGTAATACTGCCTTAGGGACCAATGTTTCAGAACCTTGATGCAGCAATTTGGACGAATGTCCTTTTTCTTGGCCAGATTCCACTCAAATTCCCCACAATTCTCCCTTCATGGGTCACTACTACTCTTGTCACAACCTTCACCATCACAGTTATAAAAAAGAATCAGGTCAAAAGGACAAGATAAATAATAAGAAATTAAACCCTTGAGGTGGAGAAAAGGGGAGATACCTATACATATAGCGCAAGCATATACTGTGTTTTACCTACTCATCCATCCTCCCAAAAACTTTGTAAAGGTTCATAGTACTACGTAACTCCATTTTTAAGTTAGGAAACCAAGGTTTAGATAAGTTAAACAATTTGCCCAAGGTCACTCATCTACTAAGTAATAGTATTGGAATCTGAAGCTGCATGACTTCAAAACTATGTTACTTTCCACAGTATTAAGGTATGAATTAATGAATTTATTTCAATTAAGTTATAATATAAAATTATATACAAACTAAAGCCTCAGAAGTCACCCATAATTTAGACATGACTAATGAAAATAATTATAAATTGCTACTCTAACACAGATTACTTCATTTTTAGAAATGAAATGCTACTAAAAAGCTTTACTTGAGTCTTCGGTCATCAACAAATAAAATGCTTTTGTCATTAATGTTATAAATCTTTTCCTTAATATTACACACAATTTCATTAATATACAGCATCTCCCTTCTTCCTTTTAATTTCCGCTCTCCCTCTTCCCCAAAATTAAATTTACTTTTGGAAGTAATGAATCCAAGACATTACCTGTTCTAAACCAGGAAATGAACCAAATCACTCTTACCTCCATGTTCCTCTTTTCCTTAAAACGTTTGATTAAAGAGACAAAAATCTAAGAAGGACAAAAATGAAGAGGAAAAACAAAGTACTGTCCTTTGAAAGGGACAAGAATTGGGTGGGGGAGGAGAGGTCATTTATTCAGCAGACTGGTACTGAGCAGTGCATGTGCTGGGACACTCTTAGAAGTGGTGATGCTAACATGAGTAATCTAGGTCTCCTGGCATCAGGAGCTCCCAGCTTTGTACCAAAGATATTTATTCAATAAACAATTACAAAGAATGTGACAAGTACTGCAATAGGGAAATGCTGTACATTTGTAGTAAAAAGGAACAGGAACTAAATGAAGGAAGTAAGCCAGTGGCCTCTTTGATCATTAAGGACCCTCAACAAACAGAGATGTCATCCCAAAAAATCCACTTAAAAGTAACTTCCACATTTTAGACATTTTCTTAGTGATGAAGCTAACCATCTACTACATCTCTGTATAGATATTTAGTAACAGTAAATATGTTTGATATTTAGCCAAATCATCTAAGATTTGGAATTAAATAAGAGATTAAAAATCATTGTATTAGTCCTTTTGTGTTAAAGAACTTATGTATATTGAGTATTTTAGCTGTTGGTACTACTGTTTAAGATAATTTGGCCTATAACAGGTCAGCCTTGCGATCCTAGTTTAAAGTTCTTAACGAGTAACTGATTTAGGCTTACAATTTTAGGTTAAAGGTTAACAAGTCCCGCATGTGAAAGAATATTTTTTTATTCTAACATTTACTGAGTTCCAAGCACTTGATTAGAAACTAGGTGGCTTGAATAAATAAAGTGCAGTTCCTGAACAACGCATAGTTTTTAACTGGAGAAAGACACTTCTATAAATAATTAGAATTTTTGTGACAAGTGTCATAACAGTAGAAGGCAGGGCAGGGACACGATGGCAAGAGCAATTAAAACAAAACAAGGAGTCTGGCGAAGAAACTAGCAGGAAATAACAATTACAGTAACCGACACTCTCACCTGGGCACTGCTACAGAGTCTTCGGTGGTCATGAGCCCTAGTTGGCCATCACTCCCCGCACCCCAAGAAAACAGCTGGCCCCGGTCACTGAGGGCCAGGCTGTGGGACTCGCCACACGCCACATGCACGATGTGTTGATCTGCCAAAGCTCCAATTTGCTCTGGGAAGAAAAAAAAAAAAAGGAGGAAAATGAAAGCCCAGAAACGAGAAATACACAGAATTAGCTTCCTAGGCAGTTTAGTTTTTCCAAAGCAAACCACTATAAATGTATATTTATAGAGATTATAAATTTTATATGTTTCTAAAAGTTATCAATTTAGATGCCAGCTGCACCGGGTAGCAGAGACACCTGCAGCAGCGCACACAACCCAACGTTCCTCGCGTGCCTGGTGCTTCTCTCCCAAGAGAAGCCTGAAGGTTCACTATTTGGAGATGTGGAACCAGAGAGGCTCAAATGGGAGTGGGAGTGGGAGTGAGGTGTATTACTAAAGCAGTGGGACTGAGTGAAATTCTGCCTTCCCAAGTCCTCCCTCCCCAATCCAGAAAAATGCCATTCTCCCCTCAGTCTCAGGACACAGCTCTGAGAAAACTGGCCCAAAAGAAAAGACTCATAGCTGCTAACATTTATGGGTCCCCCAATGAACGTCCAGCTTCCCGCTAATTAACAAGACTTGCCCACACACAGCTCTACTGGCATTTCAGTGCTTCACTCTTAAATATAGAAGGCTGGCCAAGGGTCATCAGATATGTGAGGAAACTTTAACATAAAAGAGCAAAACAAATGGAAGAAAAGGATCTCTGAAGGAAATGATCATGCAGGGAATAGAAAAAAAAGAATTTAAGTTATTAGAGGAATAAAATAAGACAAGAAACAAACATTCAGAAAATGAACAAAATTATCTTAGAAAATGAAAACATGACAATATAAATTTAAAGGAAAAACATTCAAAAGCAGAGAGGAAATAAGAATTAAAATTTTCTAAGAAATAGAACAAAAAAGGCAAAGAGCAAAACAGATGAGAAAAAAGAGAAAGTAATGAGGGAATTATTCCAAGAGGCCTAACAATGAAAAAAATAATAATAATTCCAAAAAGAGAAGGGAAAAAACACAAAGTAGAAAATTTCAAACAAGAAAAACAAGAACATTTCTCATAACTAAAGGACAAGAGTTTCACATTGAAAGGAAATATTAAAAGCTCAGAATAATGACAGATTAAAAACCTACTTCAGAGCACCTCAGCTTGAAATTTCAGAACATCAAAAAAGATTCTAAAAGTTTCTAGAAAGGAAAAATCAGTTTATATACAACAGAACTGAGATCAGAATGGCATCATATTTCTCAGAAGCAGCACTGCAAACTAGAAGACAATGGACCAGTGCCTTCACAATTCTGAAGGACAGTGACATCCAACTAAGAATTCCATATCAAGCCAACCATGAATCAAATGAGAGGGGGGAAAAAAGAACAATTTTCAAGGATATAAGGCTCTCAAAATATTTTACCTCCCATGCTGTCTTTCTCAGTCAGTTACATAAGCTCATGCCTCCAAAACAAAGGAAGACCAGGAAACAGGAATCCAGGATCCAGGAAGGATCCAGGAAACAGGAATCTTACACAGGAAGAGATGAAGAATATTTCCAAGACAGCTGTGGAGCAGCCTTATGAAGTAAATTGGAGGGATGTCTCCAAAGTGAAAAATGGAATACAGTCTGATGAGTTTACATTATTATGAGTTTTACAGTTCTGCCAGAGAATAGGGATTACTATGCAAGTGAAAAAAGTGAAGTAATTAATTTCAGGAAACACTAAATGTTTTGTAGGAAATAAGAGCAGTCATGGTATATAAAGTCATAATACCCAAGTAAATATAATTTACATGGTTAAAACTTAATTGATTTATAAAGAAACTATTTGGAGAAAACTGAGCATCTGGAGGGGAGGAAGAGCAAAAGGTGGGTGGAGAATGTAACAGCATGCTCGTCTTCCCCAGTGTGAAGTCTCCAGGTTATGTTCAATATTGAAAAAAATCAAGAAATAGCATTATAAGCTTGTCATTTAGAAATACAAAGGTAAACACCAAAAGAAAGAACTAAAGAATTCAAAGTGATGGCCTCTGCAGGTGAGACTCAAGAATGGGGCCAGGTGAGGCAGGGAGTTGCTATTTGATTTAAACAGTTTGATAACTATCACTAAAAAGGAAAAAACTTTTTAAAACGTAAGCAGCTGAAAATATGCTCATGTCAGAGAAATCTCCTAGATGATGCTGTAACTCCTGCCATCCCCATGTTAAAGGGCTCCTTTAACCTCTACTCGTCATTAGAGCCAGACTCCCAACTCAGCTTTGCCCCACACTCTAAGAACAGTCCTGTCCTTATGGAAAAACTAAGGAACGCCTGCCAAAGCTGCTCAGGTAAAACCGACTTTTACTCCTCTGACCAAATTTCCACCTTGTACCGTCATTCTCGGACTTGGGCAGCTTCTATGTTCTCCTGGGCCTGGGTGCCTGGCCCGAGACCTCAGCCAGGACTGAGACCTGCCCCCCAATACCTGACCTCCTATGCCAACCATAAGCCTTTCCTGCCTCGATGTCAAGTGTACAGCCTCATGTGACACTAGGAAGTTCCTCCACGGTTTCATAGGACACTATCTGATCCTTACCTCAAAATCTGTCAATAGCTTCCCTCTTGACCTCGTTTACCACAGCTAAGTCGTGTCAAAAGGGCATGTCTAGATCCCCAGTTACCATCTACCCCCAGTATGGTCAAGCCCTAGGCAAACCAATTCCTGTCCCATCACATACCAGCCACCAGAACAGACATGGAACCACCATCACCACCACATCACAACTTGCAGCCCGGAAGACTGAGGTACTGTTCAGTAATGATGAGATTTGTGGAAAATCAAATCAAAGGTTGTCCCAAGTCCAACTTAATTTCATTTCTTCCAGCCAGAAAACTGAGCTCATCTGATTCAACTAAGGATCTGTTACAGGGAAATTTTACTCCCCCTTCAAGAATCTACTCCCCGAGGGAGGGCCAATGAGCCAAGGAATGCTTCATTCACACCTCTCCCTGAACACACCCCTGCCCCAGCTGGGAACATTCAGGCTGCAGTGTACATTTTCACAGACAGTCTCTGCTGATTCATTCTGTCAAGACTACACACTATATTTTGCAGATTATGACAGAACCTCAACCCACGCATTAAAATAATTAAACACTGGGGAAATATTTGGGTTTTTTTTGAGGATAAAAGTATAATTTCTCTCTGAATCTCTCACAGCAACACTTTAAGATCTTTAGAAGTCTTTAGCATTGTTATCAACTTTGAATGAGCCAAGGTAATAGGGCAGAACAGTGGCAAATGTGGAATGCTGCTTAGAGCAAGTCAGCAGTTCAATTGCACTTACATTATTAGGGTCACTGCTATGTGGCTTTTAAGCCCATCATAATTTTTTAATGTATTTTCAAGTTAATAGTAAGCTGGGCATTAAACCACCCCAGGGTGGTAGCAGAGAAGGATGAGACAGGAGGGAAGATGGATGTGGCTGATATGAACCTAATCCTTGCAACAACCTTATAAGGTAACAGCTCTAGAATAAGCCCCAGCAGAGAAAAAGTATGTAATTTGGCCAAGGCTCACCACTAGTGAGTGGTGGAGCTAGGACTAAAGCCTAGGTATTTCTGACTTCAAAGCCCTTTATACACACAAGGCTGTATCATCTCCCCTCACGGAAAGGGACTAGGCAGATCTTAAACTGGTAAAAGGAACTATCAAGTGAGGAGTCTAGTTATGGATAATGGAAAATGGACTCTTCCCTCTTATTGTCTGTTCAGATGAGAAATATACCCAATAGTTTGCAGTTAACAACAAGAGCAGCTGGGTGGAAAATACACCAAATAAACAAAATTAGTGATCAATATTTGGTACTAAATTCTTAATAAAACTAAAATAAAGCAAATGAAATGTCAGTGGTTAGTATGACAAAAGATTAAACTTTCATCACTCAGATGACTCCTTTCTGAGTTTCCCCAAATTGTCTACTCTAAGATTACTCTTTTTTTTTTTTAATAGTAGAAAACAAAAGACAGAGCCATACTGCAGGAAATTCAGCACTTTGCGCTGCCATTCTGTGGATTCCACATCCTCACGTTCTTATCAACCCTGACTTTCATTTCCCATTGAATCCCACCCTAGTTTACATCTCACCTCCTACTGTTACACTCTGCTCTCCCCAGGCAGGTTTTCTCTAAAGTACTATCAATCTAGTCTGAGGGGTACAGCAGACTTTTACTAAAGGTTTGAGGTGATGGAAATAAACTTGAGCTCAGCAAACCACTGAAAACAGAATATAACCCAAGTTTCCCTGCAGATCCCAACAAAGAGAATTTCCTAGTGCCCAACTTTCCTTCTGGGATTACCTGGCCTCCCACCACATGGCGAGAATCTCCCTCATTTTCTTGGCTTCTGTGTCTGAAAGGTCGTATTCCTAAGCCATATTCCAACTACTTTCTTATTTTCATCTAAACACTCTAGGGGATCTGGACTATGCTTGGTGGTATCTCAACCCTTTAACACAACTGACTTTAAAGTGACCGCCCCCTCCCGAGAGTTACTTCCATTGAAAGAATTCTACCTTGTTCCTGACCCAAAGCATTGGAACCAGGGTCAGCTTTAAAAAAATTTTTTTTAATTCTCATACAGTAGAACTGACCCTTTAGTGTACAATTCTATTAATTTAAGTACAAGTAACCAGTCCCACAATCAAGACACCGAACAGTTCCATCACCCCCAAAAAAGTCCCGTGTGTTACCCTCAGTCACACTCTCCTCATCCCTAACTCCTAGTGACTACTGATCTGCTCCTATCACCACAGTTTTATATTTTCAATACCGTCATATAAATGGAATCATATAGTATCTAACCTTTTGAAATTGGATTCTTTCACCCAATATAATGCCTCTGAGATTCATCCAAATTGTCACCTGTATCAATAGTTTGTTTCTTTCCATTAGTGAGTAGTATTCCATGGTATTTTGGATGTACCACAAAGCAATATTTCCAGTTTTCAGTGATTATAAATAGAGATGAATAAACATTCATGTATGGGTTATTGTGTGAGTATAAGTTTTCATTTCTCTGGAGTAAATATACAGGAATGAGTAATGTAATCTTCCTATACAGGTGAGTTATTTGTAAAAATCTAATATAATCATCTCTGCATTGATAGTTTTGTTTAGACTATTTATATTTAATATAATTATTAATATGTTTGGATGGATGGCCTACTTTTTTTATTATTTGTTTTCCCTCTGTTTTTCATTGCTCTTTTTCTTCATTCCTGCCTTTTGCACTAGTGTTCCATTTTAATTTATTGTGTTTTTTACTCTCTTTGTATAGTTACTTGAATGACTGCTCTGGGGATTACAATATAAATATTTAGCTTTCAAAGCATACTTAGAATCAGTGCTTTACCATTTCAAGTGGAATCCAGAAACTGTACCATCAAAAAGGTCCCCTTTACCCCTTTCTCTTTAGGTTACAGTAACTTAAATATTACATCTACATACACTGAAAATTCTATCACAATATTATAATTTTTGCTTTCAATCATGAAAATATTTTAAAGAACTTAAGAAGAGAATAGTCTATTATATTCATCCAGATATCTACTGTTTCTGTTGCTTTTCCTTCAGTTCCAATATTCCTTCTGGTATCATTTCCCCTCCATCCAAAGAACTTCCTTTAATTATTGATCAGTACAGGTCTGCTAGCCATGAATTTTCTGCCTTTTCCTCCAGCTGAAAATGACTTTGTTTCATCTTCATTTATGAAGGCTATTTTTTTGCTTAATACAGAATTCTGGATTGACTTCTTTTCTTTCAGCACTTTAAAAACACTGTGCCACTTATGACCTCCTTACTTTCTGGGCTGAAATCCACAGTCATTTGCATCATTATTCCCCCGTAGGTTATATGTTGTTTTTCTTTGGTAGCTTTCACGCATTCTCTTTGTCTTTAGTTCTCAGAAGTTTGATTATGATCTGTCTCGGTGTGGATTTCTTTGGATTTATCTCACTTGATCCACTGGACTTCTTAAATCTGTGTATTTATGTCTTTTGCCAAATTTGGAAGTTTTTCAGCCATTATCATTTTCAGCACCGCATTCTTTCTCCTCTCCTACTAGGACTCCAATGACATGAATATTAGGCCTTTTGTTCTTGTCCCACGAGCCCCTGAAATCCTGTTAATTTTTTCTCAGTCTTTTTTTAATCTCTGTTATTCAAACTGCATAATTTCTATTAATCTATCTTCAATTTCAGAGTCTTTTCTCTGTCATTTCCATTCTGCTACTGAAATTATCCAGTGAGTTTTTCATTTTAATTTCTGTGTTAGTTCTTCTTTATACCATCTATTTCTTTGCAAAGAATTTCATTTTTCCATTTGCTCCACAACAGTTTGAGCCAGCTTGTTGGAACATTTGTGTAATAGCTGCTTTAAAGTCTTCATCAGATAATACCAATATCTATGTCATTCCTGCACTGGCATCTGTTGTCTCTCCTCCTGCTAGTAGACATTTTCCTGGGTTTCCATACGCTGAGTAATTAAAAGTGTATAGTGAACACTTTGAATATTGTAAGACTCTGGGTCTTATTAAATCTTCTGGAGAATGTTAACAATTTTGTCTCAGTTTTCAAAGCCTTTGCAGTGCTATTCAGATTTGTGTCCTACACGCACCACATAGTGGCCACTCTGGACCTGAGTGGTGGTCTATTTGTTAGTTAAGTTTTCAAAGTCATTTATATGCTAAGAAGAATTAGATCCACACATACACAGCTCAGGGGTGAGTCCAAGAGTTGATAGGTAACTATATGGAGGTGCTCTCCCATGCTCCTTATTCTCTGAGATCTCTCAGATACTTTCAGGTTTCCTGGGGCTCCCTTTTTAGCTCTCCAGCCTACATACTGTACTTCCACAGCTGCACATGCCTCTGGGCCAAATGGTAAGAGGACCAGGGCAGGAAAAATGGTAAACTTATTGCCAGTTAAGTGGTACTCTGAATTCTGGTCTTTCTTCCCAATCGACCTGCCATTATTTGCTTTTCAGAGTCTTCAAACAGCTGCTCCACACATTCTGTCCAGGTTTTATAACTGCATTCAGTAAGAGAGACGGGAAGGAATGTGCTTACTCTGTCCCCCCGGAACTGGAAACCCAGAGTTTGACTTTTAAAATAACATTTTTTTCTGCTACGTTTGTTTATTTTAATTGGAAAAAGTCCACAAACTGTCTTTGTTCCACTTGGCTAAATTTACAAAAACAAAAACAAAAACAAAACAAAGGTACAGCTCTCCTACAAATGCTCTAACTACAACTGTATTTAACCTTCCTATACAGTGAAGGGCTGGATTCC